TTCTAGTCTCTATAAAATATTTTATTACGAATATATTTCTGAAAAGCCACATGGCATATGCCGAACTGTTTGATATGAATTTATTTTACTCAGACAGAACGGGTTCGATTAACTGAAGGGTTAATGCTCCGATTAGGGACTACGATTGTTCATCGTGTGTGTGTGGGAACTTTTTAAGCTTCACAGATAGGTATATTAATCTTGGTATGTAAACTTGGCCTATCCATATGCAGAGCAAGCCTTTTACAAACCATGTATATCCTCCTGATTACTAAACATAGCTTCCATAGAAACAATAGGTGCAGGATCACTCGCAATACTAAAATTTCAATATCGTAACTTAATTTAGTTAGTTTTGTACAATGCCTCATATTCAGAAGCTTTATTAAAATTAGCCCACTATAAAATAGCTTCCATAAGAATGATTAGTACAACCAAGTTTATTTTAATTAAGAGCTGTTGTGGGCACTAACTTGCACGACTTTTACGTTCTAGTCCTTTTTCTTACAAATCACAATAAAGAAGAAAACAATTACAACAACAAAAAAGGTTCAATTTACTGATTTAGAGATTTTCTGCTTTCCCTCCAATAAACCTTATTATTATATTTCGAATTTTTTAAACACTTAGCTTATCGATTTGCCCCGCCGTCCATTTCATCGAAGTGGCAAACCTAGGCGTGCTAAAATGTTCGTACATTTTGAATGCACAAATAAAATCACGTCACTCGGCCCCTTTCCACTCCCCTGAAGACCCCTGATCTGTCTCATCAGCACCTACTTTACAACTTCTATCGTCATTACCAATTTGACTTAATTGCCGACGTTGCCATCGTCCTTGCGCCACCAGAAAGTTCCCTCCCTTCTGCCAGATTACGGGCGCCGTCCCGGTGCCATCGCCTCAGTCGTCACTTCCGCTTGCCTGTTGCCCAAATGTTTTTGCTATGCGCGATGTCGCATTGTTGGTGACTGTTTAAAAGCGTTTAGTCGAAATTTATTTGTATTACAAGAAACTTCTTGCCGACTGCTCCAAGCAGACTTTTATGGCTGCAGGCTGCGGCAGACGGCGAGAAAAAACGTGCAAACAAATGTTGAATTATTAAATTAAGCGCTTGTGCCATTATGCCATAAAATTGTCGGAGCATTGGAGCTTTGGTAGGTGGGGGAGGAGAGAAACTCCACAGCTTGCTAAATTGAAAGAGAAGAAACAGTGAAAGTCCTTGAAAAATGACAGCTTCCAATTCAATTTACAGCTATTTCCCATCTCGTGCTGAGGCTGATTGCTTTCGATTTTTGAAGTCAGTCAGAAGTCCGAATTAACTAATTTTAATTTTATGAATTATTTTCGATATTTCTAGGCATATTTAAATATATAAATAAATTGTTTCTCCTAAAAATTATTGAAGAAGATTTTATTAAGGTTGTTCAGAATATTATTACTAATATTCGTACTCGTATATCTCCATTCACTATACTTATTTCTACTTATACTTATTTCTTATATGTAGAAATATTAGGAGTATATAACACAGTTTAAAGCTGTCCTTAACCCGATAAAAGTCATCTGGATGTAGACTGGACAACTAGACACTATTTAGATTATGTATTAGTATTATGTAATTACAAGTATATATGCTGAACTATGAATTAAAGGTTTTGTTATACGTGGACTTTTGATTGCTTATCTTTCTCTGTCTTTGGTTACAATGAATTATCTTATATTAAAGTTTTAACTTGAAATTAAATAGCCTAAATAATATTCTAACAACTATACACAACTTTTTTCGCGTTGCATATTTTGTGGCTGACGTTGAATTATGCGAATATGCGATAACAATAGGTTAGGCTTCCGATTAAACATAGGGACATATACATATGCAGTCAGGCTAGCGTTGATGTGGGTACAGTGCTGCCATAATTTTTTGAGTCAAAACAGCCAGATTCCCAAAAAAATAAAGCTAAAACAAGAAAGGAATGGTAAAGTCGAGCAGGCTCAACTCTTACGTCGGGTGTCCCAACTTTGAAATACTGTACGACTTGAAATACTATGTTGGCGGGGAGAGGGGGGTGGGAGGGAAATTCCAAAATATGCATTTTCTGCGTATTCACACAAGGCATCTTGGACTAAAATTTTGTGTTCCTAGGTCTTATAGTCTCCGAGATATAGGCGATTATACGAATGGAAAATCGGGAAAACCCCCAAGGGTGGAAGGGGGGGGGGGGGGCGGGGCGGGGAATCACACACATAAGGCATCTTTGTGCAAAATTTAGTGTCTCTATCTTATAGTCTCTGAGATCCAGGTGTTCATACGGACGGACAGACAGGGCTAGATCGACTCGTCTTGTCACGCTGATCAAGAATATATATACTTTGTGGGGTCTGCCACGCCTCCTTCTGCCTCTTACATTTTTCAGCTCCCGCAAACCTAATATACTTCTGTACATTTCATGTACAGAGTATAAAAATACATTGATCATATGTTATTTTGAATCGTGCTAAACGGAATAAAGGCGTGCAACCATATGTAAAATTTTTAATTTTCAAACTGTGTTAAATCGAAACCGTGTAAAAACATAATTTGGTGTATATAGAAGATATAGGAACCAGGTTCTGTATATATGATAATAAAAAGCGGCTCAATGTTTTCATAATCCGTAAGACTTTCACCCCATACTATGTAGATTATAAACTACGAAATTCATATAGAGTATTTTCATTGCAAATCACAATAATAAGCAATGATGCCTCAATTATTTATGTGCTTTTCCTCGCTTCGCGAACCGAAAGAGGCTTTTTTGGTTCGGAACCGAGAGCGGTACTGGAATTTCGTTCATACAGTGATTAAATTTCTTTATATGCAATGACGCCTCAACTATTTGTGTACTCTTTCGGTTCCAAACCAAAAAAGCCTCTTTCGGTTCGATTACCGGGAGTGATATCGCTAATTGACTTTGTACTCCACTGTTATTAAATCTAATTTTGCTTTTTTGGTTTGGAACCGGCAGCGGTACTGGAATAAACAAGTAAAAAAGCTAAAGTCGGGTGTCCCGACTTTGAAATACTCTGTACATATGTTTACAATAATTATAGAAAATAAAAAAAATTAAGATAATAAAAAACAAGAAAGGAATGCTAAAGTCGAGCAGGCTCAACTCTTAAATACCCTGTACCACCCCACAAAAAAGTAATATAATTAATTAATTAATTAATTTAAATTAATTAACTAAATTAATTTAATTAATTAACTAAATATTAACTAATTAAATATAAAATATTCCATGCATGCATACATACATTTACATCAGAATCGTGCCTTATTCGTGTTTGTGTACTTGTACATATGTATGTATGTGTGCATTGGGCCTGGTTATATGGCTATAACTTTCTTTCCGATCATTCTATCATAATGAAACTTGAAACTACTAACCTAATGTGACTACCAACTTTTAGTTCTCAATTCCAAGAATTACGGGAGTTATAGAAAATCGTTAATAGGGGGGAGTGGGGGGTGGATCAGAAAAAAATGAACAAACTCGTCCTTTCTCGGTCTCAGGAGAATCTGTATACCAAGTTTGGTTATTCTAGCTCTTATACTTTCGGAGATCCTTGCGTTCATACAGACAGACGGACAGACAGACGGACATGGCTATATCGACTCGGCTTGTCATGCTGATCAAGAATATATATACTTTGTGGGGTCTACCAAGCCTCCTTCTGTGTGTTCCATGTGCACTCGCACAAAACTAATATACCCTTGTACCCTCTGGGTACAGGGTATAAAAATTCAATGATCGATTTTACCTTTCTCGGTATTCGAACTCACGTAAAGGGTTTATAATTGCACATTTACATAGCAATTGCGTCTGTGTGAGTGTATGTATGCCTATGCGCATCTATTCGTGTCTGTGTAAGCATTTTCGCAGTCAACCAAACAGCAACATCAACAACAACCGCGGGCAGCGCTTGAGCAGCGCTGCAGCAGCAAATATATTTATGGCTATAACTTCTTGGTAAATCAGTCTATCATAGTGAAACTTGGCATACGGACACATAATTACTAACTGGGGGTATTTGCAAAATTTTAGTTCGAAATTCCAAGAATTACGGGAGTTAGAGAAAATCGCATTTGCGGGGGAGAGGAGGGAGGGAGGTAAATTCCAAAACATACATTTTCTGTGTATTCACACAAGGCACCTTGGACTAAAATTTGGTGTTCCTAGGTCTTATGGTCTCCGAGATATAGGCGATTATACGAATGGAAAATCGGGAAAACCCCCATAGGGCGGAAGTGGGGGGAAAATCAAAAAAATAAAACAAACTCGTATAGAATACACACAAAACGCATCTTTGTGCAAAATTTGGTGTCTCTATCTCTTATAGTCTCTGAGATCCAGGTGTTCATACGGACGGACAGACGGACAGACAGACAGACAGGGCTAGATCGACTCGTCTCGTCATGCTGATCAAGAATATATATACTTTGTGGGGTCTGCCACGCCTCCTTCTGCCTGTTACATTTTTCAGCTCCCGCAAACCTAATATACTCTTGTACATTTCATGTACAGAGTATAAATAGTCTATCAACAAAATTGCTTGTGCATAAATATAAGTTGAGGCAGGTCATGACAATGTCAAGGCTACTGCCCCGCGTTCATATATGAAGTGGCCGCAAAAAAAACCGAATAAATTCGATTCATAGTGCAGCGGCGCGCTATGGCTACAACTTCTTGTTAAATCGGTCAATAATAGTGAAACTTGGCATACGGACACATAATCACTAATCACTGGTGTTATTTGCAAAATTTGAGTTCGAAATTCCAAGCAATTATACACCCTGTGTAAATAATTGCTTGCTATACAGCTTACAACTATTCTTTAACCAGATGTCGCAACCAACTTGCGAAACGTCTCTGGGAGAACAAAAATGAAACAAACTGTGTTTTTTTCTGAACAATATGGGTTATTATAAAAAGAAAATAATAATAATAAAACAATAATAATAATAATAAAACAATAATTATTGTTGATAAAATAATAATAATTATAATAATATTTGGTCCGTTTAATGACACAATTTGATAAAAAGGGGGCTTTCACTGTAGACAGTGACTTTTAGAAGGTCAACATCTCTTACGATTTTTTTTTCCAATTTCCAATTTTTTATCTTAGGAGAGGGCCGTGGCCCTCCCCTTCCCTCTTTTGTCTACACCTATAAGAGATTCTTGGTCATCGCTAACATACTGTCGTCTTTCGAAATTAAACAAGGTATTCAAATACAAACGAATAACAATTAATATGACCAGAACAGAAAAGGGTACGTAAGGATAATTTAATATTAATCTATAAGCTCTTACCCAGCCAGGCACAAACTCACAAATATAAAATTCATCCTCTCCATTTGTATCTATCATATAAAGCTCGTTATTATAAAGCACTAGGCTTAAATAGTATATGACCTTAGTTGGCTTATAGTCTGGCTTTCGCTTTAAAAATGTGACATCCTTTCCGTTAGACCACCATGTTAATCGTTCATAGATGTGGACTCCAGACGTTGAAAATGAAGTACCATTTTTAAACCTCATCGATTTAATAAGGCTGAGAAGACTCGACAACTCCTCTTCCGAGTCCACTGTGACCAAGTCTGCCCAATGATTCCTACAGTCTTCTCTTACTTCCATCCATGTTTTCATTCCACGTGACTATAAGAGAGCAGTGTTAAAGCTATTGAGATTCAAGCAGATCCTCATACTACGTACAGTTTTATAGGTGCCTAGGAAGTATGCACCAGTGTCCAAAGACTCAAATTCACTTTGCGTGTACACTGGTTCTAGTAATCCAAACATTATGAATAAAACCGGTATTATAAAGCCTATCATAGTCAGCGACAGCGAATCATCGCAACTACAAGACTCACATGAAGAACCGAATTCAACTGAACTTGGACAGCGTCTACAAGAGTCATATAAAGACACACGCTCTTATAGCTACTAACCACAAAGGTGATAAATATGTATGTGTATTTATCACTAATAAATGCATCACGCCCATTCACATACATATACAGGGCTGCCAATTTCGCTTTTTTCCCGTCAAATCTGGCTGTTTTGGAAGACCAATTGCGGGAAAAATTTGTGAATTGCGGGAAGCGGGAATTCTGGATTTTTTTAAAATGTGTTTAGCTTTTTTCTCGCTTTTTTTGCCACTGGTCACACAAAAACTATAAAAAACTGTTAGGTTTATCATAATTGTTATCGATATGTGTCAATGCCCCCACTAGTTTAGGGCAAACTATCATCTCTATACCCAAAGTGCGCGCCAATATTAATACAAAATGTCAAAGGAATATAAGCAAAAGTGCCGAGATGCTTGGCTAAAAAGCACAGAATTTAAGGATTGGATTCGCAAGGATAACACGGATGAGCATAGAGTTTTTTGCAGTTATTGCAAGATTACAATAACAGCCAAACTTAGTGATTTGCGCGCTCATGCTACTACAAAAAAGCACACAAGTGCAATGAGTGGCTTTATACAAAAAAACAAAATAGACTTTGTCAGTTTACCTGCCAAAACCTTGGAGCAGGAAGCAGCACTGTGTCTCTTTATTGCTCAACACACAGCAATGGCGCAAATTGATCATTTGGGCAACTTGTGCAGCAAACATTTTGACGGTGGAACTGCAGGGCGTATAAAGCTGCACCGCACAAAATGCACAAAAATCATCAAAAATGTTTTGGGGCGTCATTTTTTGGAAGACTTATGCAGCGATATCGGAGACTCAAAATTCAGTCTTTTACTTGACGAATCAACGGACATCAGCATTACAAAACTCTTAGGTATTTGTTTATATTAATAATTGTTTATATTTTTTTAAATTTAAATATGTATTTTGTATGTATAAATATGTATACTTAGGTGTGGTCATCAATTATTATTCCGTCCGGCGTCGTGTATTCGTCTCCACATTCCTTAGTCTCGTGTCATTAGAATTTGGAAATGCAACATGCATTGTTGAAGGTGTTAAAAATGTATTGATACTTAATAAATTAGATATAAAAAACCTAATAGGTATTGGAACTGATAACGCTAACGTTATGGTAGGCAGGAACAAAAGTGTCTACACAGAACTAAAAAAGGAAGCACCAGCACTTATATTAATAAAATGTGTCTGCCATTCTGTGCAGCTTGCTGTTAGTGAAGTTTGCAAACAACATATGCCAGATAATTTGGAATTTTTAATTTACGAAACCTTTAATTGGTTTTCAAAAAGTTCATCTCGCCAAACTGAATATAAAAAAATTTATAAATGTATAAACGATGATAAGGTATGTGAGTTGCTTTCCCCTGTTGTATGTTATTGAATTTATGTTTTAACATATGTACTTACGTAAGTGTGAGTACTGTACATTAAAAGTGCTCTGTTTATTTGATCGATTAATACTATTATTGTGCAAATTATATTTATGTGTGTATTGTCTTTCATGACGTTGTAGATTTTCAAAGTCCTCGTATGTACTTGTTTCAGTAAAATTGTTGTTCCCTAAATTATAACTATTTTTTATTTTATATTACACAAGGCCCCATTGAAAATTCCGAAAGTGAGTGACACAAGATGGCTCTCAATAGAATTGGCAGTATCTCGTATATTGGAACAGTGGGAAGAACTAAAGTTGCATTTTGGATTAGCAGCAACGAAAGAAAAATGCTTTAAAGCTCAAATGTTAAATCAAATGTATAGTGATGAAACTAATCATTTATATTTAATTTTTTTGAAACCTATATTATCCGATTTGCAAAAAGTTAATAAGTGTTTTCAAAGCAACAACACCAATGCAACAGAATTGCTTAACGATTTAATTTTTGCAATCAATTCGTTGAAAAATGCAATCATTCCTTCTGAAACGGAAATTAATATTTTCGAAACGGACGACATTGAAAAACATGCGGATAGGAATCTTTATAAAGGATACGACTTTGAAAAAAAGATTAAAACTCTAAATATTAGCTCTAATGTTGAAGAAATGCTTCGTGACCGCTGCACAAATTTCGTGATTGAGCTGATTAAACAATTAAAACAGAGGTAAGCAATATTGTGTTATTCTTTGGAGGCGATTAAATAATTTGATTATAAATTTCAGACTACCAGATAATTTTGAAACTTTAAAGCAGGTTGACGTTTTTTCTGTCGACAAAATATTGTGCGCTAAGAAAAAAGGGATAAGCGAAATTTTGGAGTACCTGAAAGTAGAAAACATTTCTGAAATTGAACGCCAATATAGCGATATTCATTTGATTAAATGGGAAAATACCAGCAACACGTCAAAGTTTTGGACAGAGGTTTTCTGTTACAAAGATTCTGGTGGCAGCCGCAGATTTCTTGAGGTAGCAGCTATTGCCATTCAAATGCTGTCATTGCCGTGGTCAAATGCGGAAATTGAGCGCGTGTTTAGCCAGGTTAATCTGATCAAGTCAAAACTGAGGAATTCCATTAACCTGAGCACACTCAACAGTATTTTACTCATAAGGTAAAGTTTTATTGTGAGTGAAAGGAAATTACTAATTTTAATGTGTATATACAGGTATGGTTTGTGAAGACTTGGGAAATGCTGCTTTGACTACGAAGTGCCTAAAAATTATTTACGCATGATTGGTACGTCCATGTCGTACGATTGCGAATCTGAAGTAAATCCCGCAGAACTTGATGAGATAATGGAGTTAATGTAAAAAACATATTAAATATTAACTTAGAAAAAAATAAATTGGTAAAACCATAAAAACGATTTTTTTTTGCCCTTGCTTCTAGTTAGAAACAGCTTTTTTTTTGTTAAAAAAAATGGCAGCACTGTACATATACCAAACCAAACCATTTAATAACATAAGCACCCAATTTTTGCAAGAGGTGCGCAGAGTGAAGCAAAAACAAGATAGAACGCTACAGTCGAGCAAGCCCGGCAGTAAAATAGCCACAAAAAAGAAAAAAAAAAATTTTTTTTTTTAAATTAAATTATTAAAAACAAGTAAAAAAGCTAAAGTCGGGTGTCCCGACTTTGAAATACTCTGTACATATGTTTACAATAATTATAGAAAATAAAAAATTTAAGAAAATAAAAAAAAAATTTGATCGATTTTACCTCTCTCGGTATTCGAACTCACGTAAAGGGTTTATAATTGCACATTTACATAGCAATTGCGTCTGTGTGAGTGTATGCATGCCTATGCGTATCAATTCCTGTCTGTGTAAGCATTTTCGCAGTCAACCAAACAGCAACAACAACAACAGCCACGGGCAGCGCTTGAGCAGCGCTGCAGCAGCGCTGCATCAGCAAATATATTTATGGCTATAACTTCTTGTTAAATCGGTCTATCATAATGAAATTTGGCATACGGACACATAATAACCAACTGGGGGTATTTCCAAAATTTTAGTTCGAAATTCCAAGAATTACGGGAGTTACGATTTGCGGGGTAGAGGGGGGAGGGAGGGGAATTCCAAAATATACATTTTCTGCGTATTCACATAAGGCATCTGGGACTAAAATTTGGTGTTCCTAGGTCTTATAGTCTCCGAGATATAGGCGATTATACGAATGTTCATACGGACAGACTGGCAGACGGACAGACAGACAGACAGGGCTAGATCGACTCGTCTTGTCACGCTGATCAAGAATATATATACTTTGTGGGGTCTGCCACGCCTCCTTCATGTACATTTCATGTACAGAGTATAATAATGTTCGATGTTTGGACAAACATCGATCGATCGACGATGCATCGTTAGCAAAAAAAAATCGGAAAACATCGATGCATCGTGGTAAAAACATCGTCGATGCTCGATACATCGATGTTTTTCTACATCCCTACTTTGTGTCCACACCTCTATCAGACACATGATATTATTTCACGTACGGATTAAAGGTATACAAATGTTTTCTGCTATGATATTATGAAAATATTCATAACGAATTAGTAGCTACAATAGAATAAACAAGTTGAGGTATCAAATATCGGAATATGTAAGCAGATATTTAATACTAGATAAGCGACTCATTCGTTCGAAACGACAGCAAACATTTTAATAACTATCCCGGGCGCTTTTTAGAATAAGTGCCATCATAATTGGTTAATCTCTTTGGTCCGATATGTAAAGGCTAATTCATGTTTTACTTAAAAAAAAAAAATTACTTATAACAATTATTAGGAAATGGAACTTTTGGCCCATAAAAGAGCTAAACAAATGTCTGAAAATGTATTGAAAGTTTGGAACTTTTTAAAACAGAACACTGGTCGATTCAGTAGAGGATTTAGGGTTAAAAGTAATCAAAGGTGTTTTTGTTTTGGAAAACATTATGGCACTTGAATCTTTTTATTACAAAAATAAGAGAGAACGCTACAGTCGAGCAAGCCCGACAGTGAAATACCCTGTACCCAGGTAAACTTCCGTCACTGAGTTATATGCGCCCAAAGCAGCAGCAAAAAGAGGAAGAAGAAGAGCGAACTTGTTGCTGCAGTTTGTGGGGGTTGTACTGGCAAGAATTTGTTTCGCTAATAATTTTTCTTAGAATCGACAGAATTGAATAAAATTTTAAACAACAGTAGATATTTATTTATAAATTATGTGTGCAAAGTTTGGTTTAGGTAGCATTTGAAAAGTGGACGGTATTGACGAAAATTAAAAAAAAAATAAACTCGTCCTTACTCGGATCTAGGAGAATCTGGATGCCAACTTTGGTTATTCTAGCTTTTATAGTTTCTGAGATCCTCGCGTTCATCCAGACGGACGGACAGACGGACGGACATACGGACGGACATGTCTAGATCGATGTCTCTCGTCATGCTGATCAAGAATATATATACTTTATGGGGTCGGAGATGCTTCCTTCTGTATGTTACATACTTTGCACAAACCTAATATACCCTTTTTACCCTACGGGTACAGGGTATACAAAAACGGTGTACGTAAGCTCATGAGGTTCCTATATCTGATTCTTTCAGTGGATCACCAATGGCTCGTTGCTGAGCAATTGCTCGCATATATCGATGGCCTCGGTATAGCAGGACTCACTACTCATCACCAGTTCCCCACGATTCAGGGTAAGGAGCATGCAGTTGAGACCCATGGTTGGCGTCGGCTGATCCGGTTCCCAATTGGTGTAATTCAACGCTCTGGCACGTCCAAAGTAGTTCCAATAGAATTGCAGATCGCCGGCCCAGCGATTCCCAGCACTCCAGAACTGTGATCCATCGTGGTATCCAGACTCATACAAGTAACTGGCGAGGGCGCGCATCTCCTCGACACTGTCGAGGCAGACACGGGACGTGCGTTTGTCGGAGTAACAGAAGTTGCTGAACGATGTGTGCTACGATGAATAATTTGGCCAGTGCGGCAGTTACGATCGGAAGGCGTCTATATAAGTGCCACCAACTCACCATCGTCTGATGATCAACATAGTAGCAGTAGTTCTCCCTAACCCTCACGTACGGCGACTTGCAACGCGGCGCAATCATTGCTAGCCCGGTGCTGGCCCCGAAATAGAGACAGAGCCAGAGACATAGGCTTCGGCAGGTGCTTCGCATGCTTCTCGATGTGTTTCCAAACAACGTTGCTGGCTAACTAATATCACTACTCACTGACTAATGATAACTGGTAATGTGAGAATGTCGGACTGCCAGGCTGGCAGTTGGGCTGTATAATCAGTTCTAATCAAGAATTATTGTTTACGAAAAGATTGTGAAAACATTCTAAAGATATGGCTAAAATGAAGAGTATGGCGTCTAACTGAAGAGTGTGGCACACAATTATAACCATGTTTATATTCTCTTCGGGAAGCCACGCAGCTTAAGTATTGATGGCAATCTAAATGAAAATTAGTTACCGAATCGTCACAGTGTTTAGGTTCCAACCTCATCTAACACAGTGCTGATAAGGCCGCTGCTCTAGGGTCAAGTTTATAGACTGGTTAGATTGATTAAAAGTACACCTAAAGAAAAATCTCGCAAAAAATGCAAATGAATATGAAATTTGTGTTAAATATAAAACTTGTGCTATGTCTATTAATTACAAATTACGATTAATATCAATTTTAATCAATATCAATGTGACTATTTAATTAGTGTGTTTAATTCAAACTCGATTTAGGTTCAGCAACGATAAGAATGTGCAAGTTGTATTAAAAATATAACATTTACTTTAAATATCTATTAATTTACTTAATGTCAAGAACAGGTATAGTCCAATAAAACGAAGACTTTTTCTCACTCAAAATATAATTTTTAATCCCAAAAAGTATTAAATTTTACAGAGTATTGTGAAAATGTGTTATGTATAGTACGTGTAAATGTGAGTATTACAATTAAAAGTTTTATATTGACGTCTTAATGACATTATCTTAATTACTAAATCAACTAGTAGCTGTTGAGACTGATATAAATCGATTTTATAAATTAGAAGTCGAAAGATCCCTTATTTATATTGTCATCAAAAGAAAGCTGAGGAATGACCCACAGCGTACTCTGTCAGGACTAAAATTAAAAATTCAGGAAATTTGGGATTCCATAACTCCAGAAGAATGCCTAAAATTAGTAAATACCATGCAGAAGAGAATTCAGGGTGTTATTAAAAATAAAGGAGATGTTACTCAGTTTTAATGAATATATAATGTTGCTGTACCAATTAATAATGGTCAAAATATTTCGTGTAGTATGAACGTTGTTTTATTTAAAATTTTATTTAAAAAATATAAATATGTTTGGGCAATCATCGCCTACAAATAAATATGAGTCATTGAAAGTTGCACTGTCGAAAAAAACCTTGCCGTACCAATTAATAGTGGTTAGGGCTCGTAATAGAAGTCGTTCTATCAATTGGCAAGTGAATACATTTATTTGCACTTCCTTCTCCAAGTAGACGTAATAAAATTGCCAATTAAAGAATGATTCTCGACGAATATACCGATTAGAAGTACTGCAATTACAATTCCTGGAATTATATGTGTTTTATTTGCTTTGCGCTCGTTTCTGGGAAGCTCCGTGGACAGAGAAGCTCTACTGTTCGGTTCCATAACGAACATATTTTTCTACCCTGCATCCGAGAAGTGAAAAGGGCATATTAGGTTTCTCCGAATGTATGTAACAGGCGAGGGGGGAGCAGTTTTCGGAATCCAAGAAGTCCATATGTAGATTCTTCGAAAAAAAATCAAATATAGTCTCAAAAATAAATATTATTATTCCGAATCCCCGTGAAGTCGTACAACTAGCTTCAGAAAAATTGAAGCCTAATTGATTTTCATCGCTTTTATTTCGGAAACGTCCTCTCTCATCTCTATTACAAATTCGAAATCGGTTAATCCTAAGAAAAGTTATAAACGTTCTTGCCTGCCATTATATATATAAAGTTTTAAAAACATCGATTAATGCTAGGAATGTATTAGTTTCTTGTTTTTTTTTTTTTTCTGTGGCGGTTAATTTAAAAAATTGCTTTTTTTAGGCTACAGAGGCTTACACAGTCGACTTGCTCGTCCGTAACATTCTCTTTTCTGTTATCTAAAACTTGCGGTTTAATTTTCAGCAAACATATAAAGCTCGGAAGGCCTGGTTTGGCCCTTAAATGCGGAGAAACATAACGCAAGCTAAGACTTTGAGCGTTATTGCAATTTGCAGTAGGACTTGACTCAGTCGCACTACAGTATCGTTCCATATCTTGGATGCGCTCGCTGTGGTTTCCGGCAGCTGATCAGCGGAATATATTGCGGCTGCTTTAGAACCAGGGTTCGTAAAATGCGAGCGAAACTCATTCGGACACACGAGTGTCGACTGTGCCGCCTGGCAGAGGGCAAGGGTCGTGTGGGTCGGCCGTGGTTCGTCGTGGGTCGCCGTGGGTCGTAGCCGATAGCGGCAGAGTGTCATACGAGCCGCGCTGCAGAAGCCGAGCGCTCGTTCGTGGCAGGCAGGCTATGTATGTATGTGTGATGTGTGAAATTTTTATGTTGGTATGCTTGTGTGTATATATTTTTCAAGGCGCAATGTGCTCGATCCCTTTCACTCTGTACCCAACTGTTCCACCTACGATTGCACAGTGGAACCTGGTATTATTTTTAAGGATCAGTGGTGTTGCAACTTAATTTAAAGGGACTTTACTACCTTTTTTATTTCCATACCAGTACAACCTTCAAACAATACGTATAGTTATTTAGAATAGTAGAAAATATATTAGTAACAAGTTTTATTTGCAAATGATCTATTTATTTCCTATGGCCAATAAATAAAAATAAATTCATTCAGAAATATAGTATCAAATACCACTATGCCAACGCAGACAAAACAGCTTCATCTAGCTGTACATGTATTTACAACCGGAAAATTGGTGACAGTGGAAATTTCGAGTCAATGTTAATGCGAAAATTTCTTGGGTTGCTGAGTTATGGAATTAAGCGATCGACTCACTGCAGCGAATCATTTTTTAAATATTTTTCGGACTGGGAAATTGAAAAAGAGTTACGCAAAGAAAATCACATATGTAGCTTGTTTTGCAATAATAACTATTCATTCAAAAATCATTATTCAGGAGCAGCAGCGAGCTAGAGGACGCTTCCAATAAGATGCGGTTGTTGACTCCGTTGGAAGAAGCAACAACAGCTCGGAGTGGACAGAAATACTACACTGCCACCATGATTATTCCTATCATAAACATAATGATATATGCACCATGAGTTTGGCAACTGCTGGAATGATTCTATTGGAGAAAACAATTTTAAAGAAAACTATCAAAAGGTTGGACCACTTGGAGCAGGTACAATAAGTTAATGAATTAAACTCAAAAAATAACAACTGACCCATATTTTTAATAGATTCCGATACCCGCAACATCAACATCGAAATGGTTCCCAAGCTAAGAAAAAACCAACTGCATCTTAACAATCTATTGGCGTGCACCAGAACTTTTCGGTTTCGGTGTCCGGCTGATACATTCGACGATGTTACATGGTTACACCATATCGGCCCATTGAAAAATTGTGAAACAAGGGGCTTTTCCACAATTACATTTTTTTCCAGGTCGGTGTGGGCTTAACGGACAAGCTTCTGTTCCTAAAAAGTGTGGATAAAAAGCAATGGTAATTCCATACCCTGCCTAAATGTCCCTGTTTAAATGATTTCTGAAAATTGTGACTGATAAAAAGTAATAGGAATTTAATAAACATTCGTTGTTTCTTGTTAGTAAATATATACATATGTATTGCATTTAAAAAAAATGCGATTGTGTACAATCGATGACAGTTGACGATAGATCGATTGTATACTTTATTTACAACCCAATTACGGAGTAGAGTTGCAACTAAACGATACATTATCGGTTATTTAAATCCGAAACATTAAGTCACACATAAATATACATAATTTATTTTTTATTTATTTAAAAACGTTTGCTTGGACTTTTTTATATTAAAGTATTCGAATCAAAAAGTAAAATTGAATTGGTTCTAACAAAAACTTGTCCTAAGCACGCCTGAAAAGTTGAACTAATTGTTAGATAAACCAAGATTACATGATGTATCCGATAGTAAATAGGATTGCTTAAGCCGTTAGCTTGCTAGCCACATACCATATAAAGGTGTGGCTGCGTTCGTTAGATACATCTTTAACCGTTATTTCGCAAAAATTGTGTGACAATCGAAAGGACGAGCTATCGCACACAAAGAAACATAGTATTTGCGCTCTCGATAGAACGACGACGATCGAACAAAGGGGAAATATTGAATTGTGCTTAAGCAAGTTTAATGAATTGTCTGGTAACCATACCCACTAGTAGGTATACTCCAACGAAAACATAACTTTTTATGACGTAGTGCTACTTGTAGAACTAAATATGTTAAACTATCAGTCACGTGTCGCAAAATAGATCGAAAGGCTGCCTCATAGACCTCAGTCTTAGATAATATCTTATTTGTTAGATAATTTAAGATTTGATTACCTATTATCAGCATAAAATAAAACTTCGGTTCAGAAGGGTAAAAATTTCAGAATATTTGTACGCTCTGATATATCTTTATTCCCCTCAGTACACATTTAGAGTCCACAATCCAATGTACAGTATTCACACATATGTAGTTTCCCCTACAATAGCAAAGAACAGTAGAAAAACCAGTTCCCCAGTCATACACATAAACCATAAAACAAAAACTGTTATACGCATTTGCGGTGTGTACACACAACGAAACGTGCGATTGTGCCGCCAGATGGCGCACACGCAATCTGACATTCTTCTTTGCTCTACTCATTCGCCGCACATGTACTCTACTCACCACCAACACAACAGCAAGTTGTCGTATCTGTGAGCTGCCTTTGCGTTTGTTTTTCTCCGATACTCATTTCGTCGGCGAGTTTCGTGCGAGTTTCGTCGTCTGCGCAGTGCAGCGGTCAAGAATAAAACAAAGTGCGCTCGAAAATCGAGAAAAACAGCAAAACTATTTGTGAAAAATTGTGTTAAATAATATAGAAATTGTTTGCCATACGCATAAAATGTTTAGTTAGCCGTGAAAGAAGTTTTTCGGGTGTCCTGCATTGTTTTCCCTATACATTTTTCAACTTTGGCACTTTTTTCTCTGCATCTGCGCTCTTCGTATCTGCGGTTCGCGTCTGTTTCGTTTTGTTGTTTACGAAAATGTGTGTGCAGTAAATGTGCAGAAAAATTGTGTAAAATACAAATTTATAAATGAAAATGCCAAGTGTTTGCCATCAAATTTCGATTAACATGGCCCAGCTGCGCTACAAAAACGAAAACAACAGCAGCAGCAACAACAACAACAGAAACCAACGTTCCACGATGCTGCCTCTTGCGCTGCTCGCCCTGGCAGCGCTAGTGCTGCGCGATGGCAGCGGCGTGGCAGCGTATATGAATATTTTTCTAAATCCAGAGGAAGTGATGCGCTTGTTGGGTAAGTCGAAGTCGGCGTCGGAGCTTTAATTGGAGTTGTTATTGTGGCTCTTTTGTTATTGATTTCTCTTGCATGCTAGCACTCGCACACGTTAATTTAGTCGAAGCCACAACAAATAATAATAACAAAACAACAACAAAATTGTGCTTCAACAATGGGAAATGTGCTGCAATTGAGCAATTAGCGTTGGCGGCATCGCCGCGCATTTGTGTGTCAACCAAACAACCAGCCAACCAACCAATTATATGGCAACTTTTCATTCATTAGAAAAATATGCTTTTCAAAATTATGTTTATTTGTTTGTTTTGGCTTTATTTAGCCGCCATGTCACTGCCGCTGCCTGGCATCCAATACGCACCACACCATTCCCCGTTAACTAGCAAATGCGCACTCTCCCATCTACCTACCTACCCACCCACCCGCTCTCTTTTGCTTACGCTCTCACGCCGCAGGTGTTGTTAAACAGTAAAACAAATAAACAAACAAAGGCAACAACAAAAAATTGTTTTCTACGTAACTTTCTGTTGCTTCGTTAAGAAATTTTACGCTTCGTAAAGAAAGATGTGGAAAAAAACAACAAAAAATTTACATGCAGCATTAAATTTATTTCACTGCCTTGCTATGCTGGAGCATATTTTTGAATATTTCTTGGAATTTTTGGTCTCACCCAAAAACAAAAAAGAAAAAAAAAACAACCAGGCAGACTCACACACGCACATGGACACAAACGGGATGACAACGCAAAGATGATGACGGAGACAGACAAAACGTGACTTGGAGCAGGGCAGTCGCCCATGGCCTAATGTGTGTGTGTGCTTATGCACGTACGTGTGTGTGTGTGCATATGCACGTATGTGTGTGTGTGTGTGTGTGCGTGTGTAGTGCATGAGTGGGTGAGCGCAGGAGCACGAGGATTGATTGTGAGCGGGGGACAAAGAGTGCAAGAGAGTGGGCAGCAACAGCAGCGCAGGCCCACAGGCATTCACATTCAATCGCCGCCTGGGCCGGCAGCAGCCAAACAGAATATTGCACTAGCAACAATAACAACAAAAACAACAACGGCTATGCGTCGCACCATATGGGAAGTGTGTGCGACTGTGAGTGTGTTGGTGTGTTGGCAGAGCATTGCAAAGGCTGCACAGTGTACCAAAAATAAATGCTCCTTTAAAGTTTGCAATTTTTGCGACTTAACTGTTTTGGAAACGTTAAAATTTATGTAATGACAATTACACTATTACTAATATTGGGTCTATAGATCAAATTCCCCTAAATAAATTGTAGATAAAGTGTAATTAAATATGTACATAATTATATTTATTTGAAGTTTATCTTCGTATAATTATCAATATCTAGAATCACATACATACATATTATAAAAATGTTATGGAATGATCCTTTTTACGTTTTATTCGTCAATTTTTTAACACTATTATAGTAAACGCTTTTAAAAAGCACGATTGTTCAAAAAAATTACAATAAATAAGGAGAAACACATTGCATAGAACTCTCCATTCAAAACCTATGAAAGCATATTTTAAAAAAAATTCAAAATGTACGGAATTCAGAACAGTTTTAATGATATAACTTTTTAGTTTACCAAACACATATACTTGTAGACTCGATTTTTCACAGCTAAATTAGATGAAGGTTTCTCATTTTAGCCTTTTATTTTCCTAATCTTTTAATTATCTTTTCATAGACAACATTGCAAAAGCCATTTTCATTATATCTTAGCCCACTGTAAATGCGCTGAAGCTCTTTGCCAAGTCGTCGTCGTTGTCGCTGTATTTTTTGGCAGTATTTTGCATGACAAGTCGTCGTCCTACCCACGACGGCATGTGATTTGCTTGAACTTGTTGTTGTTGTTGCTCTTTTTGTTGCTTGGCATGCAACGTGTCGAGTCGCTTGTTAAGTTTTTTCTTGCGTTTGCCTTGTGTGGGAGCCTTTTTGGTGCTCTTTTTGTTGTTGCTGGTTGCTTGCATGCTGACAATAATAACAACAACAACAACAACAAAGATACGACGACGACAACAACGACGCTGATGCGCATAATTTTGCGTATGCATTTTGAATTTTTGGGCGTGAAATCAAATATGCAAAATATGTTTGGATTTTGCTGTGGGTGCTCTTGTTGTGTGTGTGTGTGTGTGTGTGTGTGTGTGTGTGCGTGTGCGTGTGTGTGTGGGTCTAGGAATAAAATTGTAGTAGATGTGTTAGAGATAAGAGCTGTGTAGCTGTGATTTGCAAATGGGCTTTAAGCAACATGTTGCCAAAGAAAAACACACAATCCTGCCAACACACAGATAAGTTAAATGTTGCGAGCGCGTTAATTGAAACTAAGCTGAAAAGTTTGCAGACCCGCCCCGGCCAAACCAAACCGCAGCGACTCTACTTTTGCTGTCATAAATCAATTAAGCGGCATAATTTGCATATGATTTGTGAGCAGAAAAAGGATAAAGTAAAAAACAGAAAAAGTTGCCGCTGTCAGCGCGGCAGCGGGCTTAAATAAATATTATTTCCATAGAATTTATGGTTAAGTCACAGTTGCAGTCGCAGCCGCAGTCTTGGCTCATATAAGCTGCCCTCACACTCGACAGGGCGTCCCCCAACAGACGGGCGTTATAAATTAAAGGCAATACGAAGAGATCTCGGGTTCAATATGGTGGCCCAGGCACTTAAATTTTGAATCATTAAAATGGCAATATTGAAAATGATGTGTAATTAAAGTTTGTGTGATTCATGTCGTCGTCTCCCCAAGGTTCGGCGGTTCACGACTTGATCTTTGTCTCTATAATTTCATGATCCCATCCCTTGCACTTGTGACGAACATTTCCACATAGTTACCAAAATTCTGTTTCATTTTTATTGCCTGCTGCTGTGACACGCGCTACATTTCAAGTGTTGGGGTTCCCCCCAACCCCAAACCCCCGCTCTTGTCAGTGTGTATTAATTTAAATTCAATTTTAATGCCATTTTATTTGACAATTTTCGATGCAAGTGTGTGTCTGTCTCTGTGTGTGTGTGCATTTGTTGTGCGCATTGTAGATGATTTTTTCCTTAATTTTCTTTGTCTTTTTACGACTTTGACGCTTTGGAATTTCGACGCGTCTGCTGTTGTCCAATTCCCCCAACACCCTACCCTCCAACGCTGCCCAACTGTCTCACAATCCACACTTATAGCTCTTGTCGAGTGTTTTTATGGAGCCCATTGCCGTCGTCTGTTGTTAACTTTCGGGCAAGTTTAATTTTGTACTCGGGCTTTAATTTTATTGCTTGTTGCGTGTTAATGAAGCTGCAATTAAAATGTGTTAAAGATTTTTTGGGAATCTTCTTAATTTATGTGAATAGTTTCGGATGCTAAGCCCTTCTCACACTTCCCAATTCCAAGGGTTAAATGTGCCACGCCTACAACATTTTAAATCTACGTACATGTACACGTATATGCTGTAAGAGAGCAATCCGCCTATAAATACAGAGGAAAGTGCTTAAAAAACGTTTTAAATCTATAATTTCAGCAACAACCACAAATTTTTCATACAAACTCCTTTTTATGGAGTTTCAATTTTCCAAAAGCTTGTGTCCAAACTACAGCTTGCTCTTACCGATTGCGTCAATCAGTCAGTCAAGATAAACCATTTAATATATAGTTATTGTATATAGATTAATTCCTTTCAATGTTGTAATAATTAAAACATTAGATACGACATTTTTTTTAATATAAATAACTATTTCTTAGTTAATTCAATTTTTTTTCACTTTGTTCATGAGCTTTAATCTTAGAGTATATACTTATAATTTTCCAAGTACCGTCCACAGCATCAGCTTTAATTGGATACTTTTATAAAGCCCTATTGTCTGATGCGAAGTTTTGGGGAAGAGTTTAGTATTTTATTTTATTGCCTGTTGCGTGTTAATGAAATGTGTTAAAGATTCTCGGACTCTCCTTAATGTCTGTTCTGTGGCATGCCTTTGAGCTTAGTTTCCACTGCTTTTAATGGCCAACACGTTTTCACACTTGCAATCAGGCAAGGCTAAGAAAAAGAAGTGCTAAATATGCCACGCCCAATGTTGAAAAACCACACGAGCTGCAACAGCAACGCCCCAAACAAACATACACACACACACACATACACTAATAATAAAACACACACACGTGAGCCGCCAAAGTGATCGATTGGTGCTTGAAGCGACTTCGTGCCGCATAACAAGCTACAAATTAAGTCTCAGGAAGCAACAACAACCAACAAAAGATAACAGTCAACAACAATAGCAACAACAATAACAATACCAATAACAAAGAACGTCGAACATCTTCTGTAATGTGTTAAATTTACCACCAACTGTGTTAAATAAATTAAGCACAAGAGACCCCAAAGCTCCAACAGCCCCAAAATAAAAGAAAGAAAAACATGGCTCAATGAAGCCTGAAATATCTGTTTTCATAGAGCGTCGGCCGTTTAAATATTTTCATATTTGCATAAATATTGAAGTTTCTGGTATTTGGTATTTCTTCGGTTTGAAGTCAGCCGCCAGAAGTTGGCTGTGGCAGCTGCTGCTGGCTTAACAGCTTAAGAAACTGAACGCAAAATTGGCCGAAAGTAGCTAAGCTGCTTACAAAATAGCTAAACTAAAGGGAGGCAACGGGCGCGCAGGGGGAATGCCCCCAGCTATGCAAACAAGCTTAAAGTATCTACAAGATACAGTGCTTAACTAGACGCGTTGCTACTGTCGCAATTTTTAGCACCTACCAGGTCTAGCTTAGCCATAAAAAGTATGCGTGCCAACACAGTGATAACTGACTAAGTGAAATATGATGTTTTGAGCCATTTGTTATATAGCAATAAAATGAATTTAATGTTTTATAAAATGCCTATAAGTCATTCCCATAGAAACCGCAACAAACTTCATTTTCTAGAGACTGCAGTTAAGCTAACTCTCATTAAAAATACATATTTTTCTACATAAACCCCTAAATTGTTGGTCCCAGATAACTTAACGAC